TATTCATCTGAGCTGAAATGGACAAATGTCACTTCATTGATGATTGTAGAATAAAATCTCCTCGTGTGTGTGTTTATTTTTCTGTCTCCTGATCAGTCTAACAAAGTCCCTCTTTACTTTGCTAAATTTTTTTTAACATGGATTATTGATCATGCATCAGATCTCCTCATCAATTTTGACACGTCGTTTTCCTACATTTAGTTTGCTGACTTTTCCCATCACTCCTCTGTTGTTCTACACTAAACAGTTTATTTAATGTATTTCACAGTAACTAACAGATGAATCCCCACACCATTAAAAACCTTTGAAGGACGCTGATACAGCTTCTACCCAACATTCATTCAACCTTTATTTAGACAGGTAAATCCCATTGAGCCTCGAGGACTCATTTACAAGAGAGACCTGATTTCAACAAAGAAAGATGACAACAATGGACAACAGCGACATCAATAAACAGTTATAAAAAGTCATACAATTTTTTTTTTTTTACAAATAGGATGGCTAAAAACAAAAAGAAAAGTAACAAAAAAAACAGCTAGATTCTAAGGCATACGTGAATAACATAACATACGTGGACTTTGTTCTCCAAAGCCCAGCAGTACTTCTGGACTGGCTTCTGTAATAAGCTACAAGAAAAGGCCAATGTTTTGATGCACAAAAAGTGTAACTGTAATCAAAATACTTTGTACTTAAAAAAATAAATAAAGAAACTGTCCAGATGACCCGTCTGAGCATTATTGGATTTGGTACCTGGATGATTGAGCATGAAATTAGTTAACATTGACCTAGGACTAAAAATCATTAATAAAGCACTGCTTTGTTAAAGTTCAGTTCTCTTATAAACTGGATAGTTTAAGGCTGCTTAATCCACATTTTTCATGTGTGCGTCGTTGAATTTGTTTTATTTCATGACATTTAGCTCTTGCCTTTCACCAGGCCTCAGTTTCTGATCGTCAAACCATTTGTTAATTTTTCAGGACCTCTCTGTGTATAATTTCTGCCCCATTTCCTTGGATCTTTGCCATTTCATTATGTTTCAGGCTCCACCTTGCTCTTGACAGCAGCAGCTCTACCAACTCCACCACTGTGCTGCCCTGCACATAGCCTCCTTCGTAAAATAGATATGCTGAGTATGTGGGTCTGTTCATCTGGTGCTGATACAATCTTTATCTCTGAAACCTGATTATCCAAATCAATTTTGGGTAAAGAAGTGTCACTTGATTGATTTAATATCTACCCTTCTGATCATCAGAGAAAGGGGGTGGGGTTGCTGTTTACATCAGATCAAGCCTGGATTCCCACTTGGTGTCTGCTAAAACAATCCCAAATCAGTTTGAAATCCTGACAATAAACATTAATTTGTATGGAGCCCAGACCTTATCTGTTGTAGACTGTTATCGCCCACCCTTAGCAACCCCAGAGTCTCTGCCCTCTTTGACGGACTTCCTAACTCATTTACAATTCAATGAAATTCTCCTTGCCGGTGACTTCATCCTAGACTGGAAGTCTCTGGGCCAAGTCGGTGAAGAATAAAAAAAAATGTTTGCCACTCAATCTCACCCAAATTATTGACACCCTCACCAGACCAAACAAAATATTCCATGAAACATTGTCCAAATTAAACCACTTTTTAACAAATATACCTTGTAAATTTCCTGGGTTGGGTGTTTTTGTAGATGATATGAGCGATCATTGCATTATCGATATCATCAGGGACACTAAACTGCCTCGCTTTAACAACAAAGTCCATGCTCAATAATCCAGGTATACAATCCAGCATTTTTCAGTCAGGTCATCTGGACAGTTTCAGCACAAAAAAAATAAAAAATAAAGTAAAATAACATAAAAATAAAAAAAGAAACAGTTTGACAAAACTGTCAACAAGGAAGAGGGCTGGCAATGGAGGAGGGGGCGTATCAAAGAAACCATGTTATCACAAGCAGAACTGCTTTGTTCCACTTTGGAGTAAGCTGTTGGGGAAGAATCAGTTTTGTTGTGTGTTTCCATGACTGATGAAGTCTTCTGGACCGAAGGCGAAACATTTCAGCACAAAAAAAAAAAAAACTGTCCAGATGACCTGACTGAAAAAGGTTGCCTCGCTTTAAGCTGAGACTAATTCTAAAAAGAACATGAAATGTTTCAGTGAACAGGCCTTCCTTTGGGACCTGTCCCATTTTGATTGGCATCATATTCTCCTAACCGGTGATGTGAACGCTCCTTGGACCTACTGTACAGTAATTTCAAAACAGTTTCATCTACTTTGTAAATACACATACCCCTTTTCTCCAGTTCAGAATAAAAGGACAAGTCAGCCCCTGGTTTACTCCTGAGCTAGCTGACCTCTTACATAGGAGAGATCAGCTTTGGGCTACATACAGCCAGACATTCTGGCTCAGGCACTGATTGGTCGACAGCTGTGGAATCAATGTACAGCTTCCATCAAAGCCGCAAAACATTATTTCTTATCTCAGATCTTCAAAGATCTAAATGATCCTAAAAGATTCTGGAAAACCATCAAATCACTCATTGGCAGCTCTCATTCATCTGACCTGCCACCACAACTACTTGTTAACTCTGTTCCTGTGTCAAATAAGCACAAGATCCTGAACTGTTTCAACAAACATTTAGCTGCTTCTAGTTCCTTGTTTGCCACAGTTACTAATTGAAAATCAGCCACTTCTCCTAAAAGTCAAACATCTACAAATCAAATCTCTCCTACATGTCAATCCTCAGTAAACCACATCTTTTCATTTTCACTGTTTTTGGTTAGTGAGGTTAATAAATTGTTAAATGGTTGAGATTCTAAAAAAAAATCTGCAGGCCCTGATGACCTTCCTCTTTATTTTTTAAAACTAGCTGCACACATCTTTGTATAACCAGTGTCTCACATCTTTAATCTTTTCATAAGCCAGAACACCGTTCCAAACACTTGAAAAACAGCTTTTGTTCTACCTTTACTGAAGGGAGGAGACCTCATCACATTGAACGATTATCATCCAAACTCTAAACTCTGTATTCTTGCTAAGAGTTTAGAAAAACTGATAAACTCTTAAGTCAAGAAGTATTTGGATTCTTTTAACATCTTACCTCCTCATAAAGCTGGTTTCAGGAAACAACAGCACAACGACTGCTTCGCTGAAGGTTTTTAATGATGTTGTTGAAGCACTGCATGGTAAGGATTATTGCGCTGCATTTTACTGAGACCTGTCTAAAGATTTTGACACTGTGGACCATGACATCTTATGTCATACGCTCTCAGAAACTGGTTTCTCAGATCACAATATTGGTTGGTTCACTAATTATCTCTCAGATCGGTGACAATGTGTTCAACATAATGGTAGTTCTTCCAGTTATCTAACTGTCAACAACGGTGTACCACAACGTTTGGTCTTAGAACCCAGCTGCTTCACAATCTACATAAGTAATATAGGTCAGATCATTCCTGATGCATCTTCACATTTCTATGCTGACAACACAGTTGTTGTCGAGCTAAAACAGTTGCTAAGATTTTCCAGCTTTTACAGTCTGCTTTTGACATCCAGTCAGATTTGTTCCGTATCAATTTTGTGCCAAACGCCGACAAAACCAAAGGGATGTTGTTCTCAAACAGGAAGCTAGTCCCAGCAGTCCTTCCTTCTATTTTATCTTCTTTCCCTATTGAGTTAGTGAGTTCTTACAAATACTTGGGTATCTTGGTTGATTCACATCTCTCTTTTAAGCCTCATGCCCTAACCCTAACTTGGTGAAGAAACTGAAAGTAAAACTTTTTTATTTTTTCAGAAATAGATCCTGTCTAATTCTGAACGCTAGGAAACACATAACTGCTACTTTCCTTCCTTCCAATGACTATGGTGACATTACTTATATGAATGCTCCTGCAAGCACCTTGCAGATGCTGGACGCTGTCAATCGTGGTGCGTTAAGATTCATAACTGGCTGTAATTACTGTACCCACCACTGCACCCTGTATTCACTGGTTAACTGGGCACAATAACTTCACAGACTCTCTCACTGGTACAGTTTCATCTTTAAATCACTACTTGGTCTGCTGCCTTCATATGTCTCCTCCTACATGTCACTACGTGAGTGCAGCTACAGCGTGCGCTCTTACGACATTACATGCAGGGTTCCCTCAGTGGGGACTGACCTAGGTAAAAGTGCCTTCTCCTACTCTGCTCCTGTTTCCTGGAACACCTTGCAAAAAGATCTGAAGCTCTCGACCTTGACCTCTCTAAGTGACTTCAAACATCTGCTAAGTTCCTGGCAAAAACCAATGCAGCCATGTTCCTGTTTTTTAGTATTTTATATTGCTTTATAATGCAACTGTTTTCATTTCATTATTTTATTTCATTTTCTTCTATTTATTTTTTAAATTGTATATGCTTTTTATGATGGTTTACTGTTGCCATCTGTTGTTTGTTTAAATCAGGTCTCTCTTGCATGAGTCCTCGAGACTCATTGAGACTACTCTGTATAAATAAAGGTTGGATGAAAATTTTGACACCTGTAGGGGGCATCACCTACACCAGAGGCTACAGTCTTGAATGTCCAGGTGTTAAAACGATGCTTATGATGAACAATAATTGTAAAAAATCTGGTTTGAACCTACCTGTCTTCATTTAAAAAGTGTTGCTCCAGCAGATTAAATCATACGTAAATGTGGGGGTGGATGCCGACGCGAGTACAATGTGGGCAACACCAGAATTTTAAGCTGTTAACTAGTCTTCAACTCTGAGAAATACTACTCTAACCAGTTCAGCTCATAATTAAAATGTACTGGTGACAAGATTTAGATGAGATGTAGAAAATGGCTCCATTGTTGTTTGGGTTTCTGGGACACACCATGAGAGAAAGCAGGCGTAAAATGGGCTGCTATGGCCTGATTTCAGATAATCTTGGTATTTTCTGTCCACACATCAAAAATATAATTTTTTAAAATCTTCACATTGGCAAATGTTTAGTAAAATCAAATTTTTTCTCACTGTTATTGGGTCAAATACCTGTACAGGGCTGCAGCCCTGAAGCAGCAGCAGGTATGGACAGTCCTGGGGCGGGTGAATGGAGTACTGTGTGGTGTTATCACCACTGCTCTCCGTCTCCTCCCTCTCAGACTCGTCTCCTTCCTGCTCGGCTCTCTGGCTCAGCACACAGAGGGTCTCTGTTTTGGCCTCTGACCCTCCGTCCCCCTCAGAAAGAACTGCCATGCCACGAAGGAGATTCTGTTCAAGGCTTGTTTTGAGGGACTTGTAGCTCACAACTGTAGCAGGACTGAGACTCTCATGTTGATCCTTGGCACGTGTATCATGTACTGTGTCGTGTTTGGCCTCACCATCTAGGAGGTCCATCTCACTTTTGCTCCTCAAAAGTTTCTGGCTCCGACCCACTGTCCTCTCTAAGAGGGTGGAGGAAACTCTGGACCGGCTCTTCTGCAGCTTTCGAGCCTGGGCGTTGATACCTAACAGAAACAGAAAAGGTGAGGATGTTAAGCCTTTAGGTGCTTTACAAGTCCATCAGGCAAAGTGGTGAAAGATTGTTGTTACAGAGCAACACTCGTTTTTGATATGTTTTTCCTGAACCCGGGCGAGTGCTCTGGGCGTGATGAGTTCATGCCAGAGTCAACAAGAAGAAGCTAGATACAGGAAGCAGACCTCAGTGGAAAAAAAGACAGCACTCATGGGAAAGCAGAAAATGTTGAGGCCCACAGCAGGCATCCACAAGCTGACACTGATAAAAACACTTTTACCCGCTGTGCCCGTCGTAGGAGCCAAATACATAACAGGACACACACTTCCAGCAAGACCACAGCTGTGTAAACCACAGCTGGGGCCTCGGTAACAAATGATTGTAAAACTGACACAAAGAACCACCGAGCACCTCTGGTCCATGCTGTGTCAGAAATCTGTGGAAAGTTCTTACTTGTCCTCTTCACACTATTCTTTATAAAAATAAGCAGATCAGATAATAAGCTATATATATATTATAACCAACAGTAAAGTATTAATGACAAAGTGTGTTAATATAGAACTGCAGTTGTCAAATGGTGAGCCATGGTCCTGATTGACCCTAAAACTTTTTTTTTTTGCCAGATCATTTAAATTTCTATAGAATATC